ACTGCAAACGCTGAGACGTTTCCCAGAAGGGGAGGGGGTGGGTTTGGCGCAGCGCCAACTTGTTCTCCACCAGTTGAGGAAGCTGGTAAACGCCTGCCATGCACGAGCCGAGGGAAAATCTCGGTCGGCTCACGACCAGCCAACCAAGCCTTTCATCTTTCCGACATCGACCAGATGGCATCGGATTTGTCTGGAAGGTAAGACCATCTCTCGACCACACCCCACCTGTTGTTGCTTGTTCATGTGCCTGATTTTGAACGGAGTCGGAGTGCATGGTGCACCCCAGAAAGGAACTGATCAACACTTTATTCTGTTCGTTAAGTCTTACTTTATTTTATTGTCATTATGATATGTAAACTATGTTCGTGACGGAGTGAGACGGTGGTGGTGTAGTGACAAGTGGCACGCTTACCAAGCGCACGGTATGGGGATCAATTCCGGATCGTCTTTCGCTCCAACTAACCAAGTCTTCTACCCTCGGACGGAATATTGGTACCAAATCCTGGGGACAAATTCTGGTAAGTTTGAGAACACTGATTTGTCAGCGGGGCGCCCCTCTCCCCTCCCCCCCCCCCGCCATGTCATTGTATAGTGCCACATCTCATAACCAATAATACACTGCGATCAGTGAAGTTTAGAAAAAGGCATTATGCGACGCGGAACGGTTATCCTTTATCATTTCATCTTCGTTATCATAAACAGCATATCTGATACGTTACCTTTGTATCTATTTTACTAGCACGTTAATTTTCTTATTAATTCCTCCTAGAAGGATTGCAATCGCGACATCAATTATTATGAAGATCGATTTCGTTCGTCAGGGTTTCCGATCACATTGGTTTATTATAGCGGCGCCAAAGAAGTTTTAGTATTAAGATGTGATTTTTGAACGCAGATTCTTACACTTTTCAATGGGTTTCTGGAACGCCTGAAAGTGGCAGGTTTGACGTATTGGCTCCAGCAAAACACTCTACGACATTTCGAGGTGGTAATTTTCACAACGCTTCCCTATCAAGGCCAAAAACTACCGCTCTTGAAATGGCTACGACTTTTTGGTGCAATCAAACGACTACCATCAATCATCGTACTGCCCTTGATCTTGGATGAGATACTCTCCACCTGCACAAACTCCGGCAGTCCAACAGGAACAGTAGCTCCTTCCTTCACAAAAATTTGCTCACTGAAATAGTAATGGGGAACGAAAGCAGGAACATACACGTACATAGTCGATGATACAGTCTTGCTTGCTGTGGGCGCCAGGGCGTTTCAAAGGGAGGAGGGGTGGGTATGGCGTGGCGCCAGCCTGTCGCCAGCATATGTGAAAAGTGGCAGACAACCAAGATTAGTGGGGGACAGGTTGGCCGCGCCATGCCCGCCCTCCACCTGTTCTCCACCCACTGAGGAAATTCGTTGGCGACTACATACAGTTGGTAGAAGACAAACTGGCACTGCGTTCTACACAGTACCCCTCCCCCGCCCCCGCCCTCTGAGATGCCCCAGCGTCCGCAGCGAAAAAGGCTGTACATGCAATAGTCAGTTGCTTTTATAAATGTTATTGCCGCTGCATAAGCCGAAAATTCGCTCAGCAGAAATAAAGGTCTTCTGTGCGACTGGTGGAACTATGATAATTTCCCCAGTATGAATTTTTGGAAGGTGATACTACTGAGAAGGCAATGAAGTACTCCAGCAGACCTGAAGAGGTGGTTGAGACAATCCCCACTGGAGTGCCCAGAATGGCGAGCAAGCGAGCTACAGACCAAAACTTCAGTGCCCTGCTTTCATGCATGTGGCAACGGTGGTTCGTCAGCGGGTCCAAGTGCGCGGCGGGGAGACACCACTTCGTGTATTCGGCGTAATCTCGCGGACCGTTCTGTCTTGTTAACGCATTGTTCAACTCTGAGCAGCATTTGCGGGACAGTTTCGATTCAATTATCACAAACCGCAAATCCCCGTGGAATGAACTGGGTAGATAATGATGCCTGATGGAGCAAGGGGCGAATCTATCTTAAATTGATACTAACAGTCTTGTTAGGTGCAAGACGAAGCGGGATGAATTTGGCGGGGCGTCAAACCCGTGCTCGCCAGTTGTTAAAGCGTGTAAGCGGCAATAATTGGTGGTGAACATTTCTCGTCGCATGCGCGCTTCAACGACCAATGGAAAAGTGGTCTGGCGCTGCGCCAGACCTCTTTTTCCTTGCCCATGGTGCCTCTCAGAGAACGTTCGACATGCTGGCTCTTCAGAACACGGGGTCCACATTGCATCATCTCGTTGGCGCTGTTTATCGACGGGTGGCATTTTGTACTATCATAGCTTTCCTAGTTCCGGTTTACAAATCTCACTCTGGTAAAACTTGTGAACTCTTGTGATAGCTGGAGGCAAGATCATGACTAGCCAACGTGTCAACTCCAGAAAAGCTACCTAGATGGGTCGACACATCTATGGAAAGCAAAATGCCCCCCCCCCCCTCCCCCGTCGATAAACTGCGCCCATCTCGTTTATGGTGTCCACATCAGAGGGTTCTCTGTCGCATATGGCTATTGGGAAAGAGATAAGGTCACAGGCGGTGGATGGTGGTGGTCAGGCCTGACGAAAACATTTGGGCGCTGTGCTCACTCTAGCCGAAGGGTTTTCGATTCTTCCATCCCCAGTAGTTGGTCGAGTACCCTCCAGGTACGCTCGACAGATGGAGGGGTCGCATTAAAGGCAGCTCCCACGTTCATTTGATGTTCCTGCGCCCTCTCTGGATATCATAGCCCTCCCTATGAGGATGCAGTATGTACTAGTTTTGCATCTCAAAAAGGCGAGAGGATAGCGCCGTTCGCTAGTGAAGAGTCGGCCGCCCCGCCCACCTGGCCAGCATAGGGTTCTATATAGGGCATTTTCCATGATTTTTTCTGCTTTTTTTCTTCACTACTGGATCACGTATTATATGAGCTCCATAACTCATTATTCTTGAAAGCGGGCTCAGCCTTTAAAGGCTAAGCCAAAGCAGTTATGGCAGCCAGGTGGGCGGGGCGGCATCCTCTTCACAAGCGGGTGGCGCCATCCTCTCGTATTTTTGAGCTGCGAAATTAGTACATCCTCCACCCTTGTCGACAAAGCTACGATATTTAAGGAGGTGTAGGAACATCAAATGAACGCGGGCGCTGCATTTAATAATTCCGAAATTTGAAGATATGCCCTAAGGATCATCTAACATCCCATGTAGACGGACATAATAGAGCAGCAGCAGGACAATCCCGCTTCTAGGCGCTAACTAGTATCCAGCACACATGTGTACTGCGTCGTTGAGAGAATCCGATCAGGAGGGAGGGAGGGATGGACTGATCGTTGGTGCGTCGTGTAGAATTCAAGCACTGAGTTTCTTTCGCCGAGCACAGTAAAACTTTCCCGGTTATTGACTTTTTTCCATCTTTCCCTACTCACACGTCCTACACGTAATGAAAAGCCTTTTGAAAACCAATAAAAAAGTGATAGGAAATTGAGCAATTAAGAATGTGAGGAAGGTTGGGAGATGTGTTCGTACCAGATGTGGGACTTTCGGGAGAGAGGTCGTTCTGAACACGCGCCATTTCTCCAGTCCCGATGCTGCACCCCAAACCAGCGTAATCATCTTACAAAACGTTCTCTAAAAAACGGTGGTGGTCCCTTTGAACCCAAAGCAGCATAATTTTCGCCGCGAAGTGCACATTGATGCAAAATGCAAAATGAAAACGGTCAGAATAGAAAAAAAAACCGATAAAATGGAATCCATTGTGTAGTATATAACAGAAAATGTCACATTATACTGTATATAACCATTCAGGGTTTCAGGGTTTAAACATTTATGGAATAAATATAACTATTACATGTTAAGAGCACTCTAATTCAATGAAATTACTGCGTGTGTCATTATTATTCCTATTTTATTGAACAAAGAGTAAAAAGGCTACAAAGTTGTTAAATAAAGGACAGAGGATAAAGCTTTCACCGTTAATCAATCCATTTTTAGGATGCCGTACGCATTCATTTTCATTCAGAATCGCAGTGTCTTATTGAATGGTGGGGCCTGTAGGATGGCCTATAAAATGACTTGCGGGGCTGCCACAGTGCAAGTGTACAAGTTAGTCAGGCAGACGTATGAGAAAGAAGGCTTGGTTGTCTCTGGTGGGGAACCGATCCGAAATTTGACCTCCTGAACCGTGCGCATGGTAGGCGTGCCACTTGCCTTTACACCACTTCCGCCTTTTTCTTCTTATTATTATCTGTTATCCGGTTATTATTAATAGATTATTATTGCCATTCCATCTTTGATCGGCCGTTTTTTCTTCTAAGTGACGAGCACAAAGAGAGATTCTCGTGACATGTTAAACTTCCGCTTAACATTAAAGGCACGTGCGAAATGGGAACAAGCTTACTTATTTGTTTCCATTTTCTCACAAAATTCATTGAATAGTGATGTTATCACCGACCATTATTGTTATTGGCAAAGGCTAAGGTGGTTTAGAAGAAAGTAGCGCTGCCTGTCCCTGACTCTGTCAAATCCCGCCAAGATTCAGCCTGGCCGATCGGGATTCCGCGCTTATGAGGCCATAAATTGGGTACGGAGATCGTCGATGGCTTTGCAGAATCAATCAGGCATTTCCCGACTCAGGAAGCACAGCTAGATCTCAAAAAGAAGTGCTGGCGCACACCAAGAAGGGATTGACAAATCCGAAAGCTTCTTAAGGTTTTTTTTTGTTGTTTGCCTGAGGGACCGTTGTTCCGACAAAATATAATCCTTTTTTCTAAGCAGTTCTACCGAGCTGCAGTCGAGCGCGCTTTCTCTTACAAAAGCTGCATGAATCCAAGTTTTGTGTACACGGACGAGCTTTGCCACGCAGACAATTCCAACAGCTTTCATTGTCCAGCACTGGTGTTTATGCGTGGGTATTTCGATTAAGCTCATATTAGACAAAATGACTGACTTGTATCTTATATAAAAATGAATTATCATTGATATTGCGTCGAGTCTTTGTTGATGGCAGAAAAGTCAGGTAAGCGCAAGGGAGTTGGCAGCAGGCGTTGCAGCATCTGTGATTTTATTAATGGTGTGGCCCATTTCCAAACCATACAATACACTTGTTACTAAGTCAGATTTGCGCCCTATATTTCGAACGCCCAACATTTACTAGTTTTTCAGCGTAGAGCGAAAAATTTCCGATCGAGTATGAGGGGAAGGCACTGGAAAAAACGCGAAAGCAAACAGCGAAATTTCATCACAAATCGCAAATTACTCTAAAAGGCAAATGCGGCCACACCTGTTCAACAACGACCAAATTTTACACGAGCCGCAGCAGCAGATTGACCCCCATCGAGTTTTCACACAACTACTAGTAGTCCTGTTGGCATCATATGCTATTTCTGCCTACTTATCCTCGAGTATTCCATTGTTATATGCGGTCAGTTACGTTGTCCCAGGTTCATTAAAATACCATCCTTATTCTCCTTAACTCATTGTCAGATTTGTCTCCCTCGTTAAGAAGAGGTTGGGGCTCACGGACTGCAGCGAAGGCCCTCGGTTCCTGGCGAATGTGCTATTTCACATGTGAGTAAACAAAAAACGGGAGTTGCTTTGTTCAATGAGCGTTATCCTGCAGTTATCAGCTTGGTCAGCGTGCAAATTAGACGAATAGATTTTGAGTTGGGGGCCAGGTGGAGGATATATATTTTCCCCAAATATTGGGCAAAGGAACGTCTTTCAAAAGACTTCCGGTCTCGAGTAACAGTTTTAGAGAGTAGTCTGCCACCAATAACTTTCTGGCGCGTTCCCTCATCCTTTGGGCAAATTCAGAACTTAGTGTGGAAAGGGGGAGGTGGGCAAACCTGAATGTACTCGAGCTAATCATAAGCTTTTTACAGCCATTGCAAAGATCTGTGAAAATAGTGTGAGGCAAGTGGCTCATATGCCAGTTTGCAGCTTCAAGAGTTGACAGGTTTTGACAAATGTACACGCTGTATAGGCAACATGAATAACAAAAAGTGACTAAGGAAAAAAGAAAATCGTCCTTTCTTACCGACCAGACGCATATTTCTGATGCATATATCAAATTAGCACTCTATTTGGTGAAAATTCTGCACAAGCTCTAATCGACAAGTCTCCTGTGTTTCATATTCATAGATTCTGAATTCGGTAAACATAGACTAAAATGCTCCGCGGGCTGTTGCCAAGGGGGCATCTATTGCTACCACACATGGCGTTCGCACCCATCTAAGAACGGGCACCTTCTCGAGTTGACAGGTTTTACCAATGATGAATTGACGAAACTTGCCAGCCATTCACAAAAGTCACTAGGTTACGATTGAGATTGTTTGATAAAACCGAGCTAAGTGAAGACAAGAAAGTGGCAAAACTCCCCCCCCCGTCGCCAAACTGCGCTCTTCGCTCTTGCGAAAAACTAGGCGAGTCAATCCGGTGCGCTCTTGAACCCCCTCTTTTGGTCCGTGCAGTGTCCAGTATATCCCCGGCAAGTATCTGGCAGTTGTTCTTGACGTCGTCGAACGTGACTTCAACGTCGATGGGAACTTTCTTACAAATGGCAGTTCTATCCCACCTTAGAAGCTTTCCGTTAACGGTGACTTGAGATACTCCAACAATCGCAAGACGTCCTCATTCTTTGCCTCTGGTCGGACTGGTCATTGCTCACGCCAATGTGCCCATTGAAGTCCCCATAAAGTACAGGTCCCCGCTGATTGGACGTATAGACGTCGGCGAGTCGCCTCCAGAACTTGTCCCTGACGACGTTGGACGGGTTCTTTTGGTGGCTATAGCGCAGATTATATGGTTTGCTCTCTTGCTGAGGATCATAGTGACCAACATGACGCGGCCAGAAATCCTCCGCACGTCCCTGAAAACGTACTCCAACTACTGAGGCACGGCGACCTCGTTGACCTTGGGTTGACGTTCGTTGTAATATAGGTTACAATCTCCAATCACCTTCGTCTTGGCGCCAGCCTATTTCATTTCTTATAGCATTGATGTCGATGTTCCTGACGTTCCTTTCCTTCAAGGTGCCAATTAGCTCGATGAAGGGGTCGGTCAATGTGCCGCCGACGTTAGGGAGAATAATCTCAGTGATCTTTCCCCGGAGCAGGACACATCATCGTTAGGGATTCTCCAAGGGGGGGGGGTATTTGCTCGTTGTCGAGAGGGGGGGGGGTCGTGTTTGGCTTCGGAGAAAAATTCGTGACATAGGGAGAAATTTTCCGCGGTCGGTGATTTTTTCGCGCTTTTTCCTTTTCACATGTGCTATGTATCCCCACTCGCCAGCAAAACTTTGGAGAGAAAGTAGTAAAATATTGAGAAGTTCCGGAAATACTGGTAAAAGTTTTTTGAAGCTGTTTTGTTATGATAACTGCTGTTTAACGCCGCAGTACGCGTTCCGAATGTTATCACAAGAATGCTGAGTTGTGGGCAAAAGTCGTGCCCCAGGCGGGAGTCGAACCCGCACCTCACGCTTTGGTGCGGGTTCGACTCCCGCCTGGGGCACGACTTTTGCCCACAACTCAGCATTCTTGTGATAACTGGTAAAAGTAGGCTCAGGAAGTTGGAAACATCGGACGAAAAATGTAGCCCGTTAGGGATTCGGCCATGGGTCGCATCCCCTCTCCACCGCATTAACAGCCCGAATCGTACCAGCTAGGAGGGAACCAACGGGTGTCGGCCTATCCAAGAAAATGGCCAAGGGCGGTCGCACGGACTCGACACGATCTCGCCAACCACATGATGTGCCCTCGTTTTCGTAGGCGAGTTCCTGGTATATTTTGCTCAAAATACGCGGTAGACTCGTTGGGTTTGGCCCATTACGATGCTGAATTTAGCCTACCTACTTGAAGAGAATTAGGTCTTTGTGTGGTGCCAGAAAATCGCTTGACATAATCCCCTTACGGTGAAAAAATTCTTCCGCCACCCTCTCTGCCTACTCTCTAGACCCTATTCCCGCTTAAACCGCCGAAGACGTTGGCAATCCGTCTTTCCGGCCGCGCCCTTAGAGTTCATGAGCTTTGGCCCGTTCGCATCACGGCGCAGTTGAGGCGCGCGCGAGCGGCGGCGGGGGCGCATTTGCACTTCTCGGCTGTCTTCAGCCAGTTCCGGTTCACATAGCTCTAATTCTAGCGTGCTTCTGGTGCGAACTGAGCTCTAATGAACTCTTTTGTACTAAACCATCAAACTCCTTCTACACCGCTCATAAATCATGCTTTGTAGCATGCGCTTGACAAGCTCCATGGGTACAGTGACAGAGCCTCGTAAAATGCACCCCCCCCCCGGACACCGAACTGCCCCTCATCATTGATCAGTAGTTGTACTATGATAGCCTGAGTACTTGTACTATGATGGTCTGTATGTAAAAGAAGCTTACCCACAACCGTGCAACGGCTTGCGAAATTCATGATCCCGGCAGAAGAACAGGGCACTCCTCACCTATATCCTTAAGCATAGCATGCGATAACATGTTTCCTTGGCACAGTTCCCTTTTGACGCACAACTGACTATCCAGTACACTCAGCGCGTAGACAAAAGGCATGATTAGTCGTCCCAAAAGGGAAATATCCCACAGAAAGCGCAACCACTGCCACTTTTAAAGGAATCACGCTGCCACACCCTCCTCATATCGCGATTTGGAATGTATATCTGGGTGATGGAATTGATATGGACATTAATGTGGGCGGTAAAAGAAATCGCGTTAAATGACGACGTCTCACGTCTGAGACCATTGGAATCACCGGGTAACATGGAATATTTGGATAGCTATTTAGCATTTTCCCCGCAGAAAACCCCCACGTGACGGGCAGCGACCAACGAGCGCGATTCGTCCTCTGCACTCTTTTCTTTCTGCCACTCAATGTGTTTTCCGTTTCGTCTCTTTCTCTCTCTGCCCCCATTGCTCTCTGATCGCATTCGTGTCCTGTAATTCGAATACAATCCAAACTAAACGTCAAAAGTTTATCTAAACTGACTCGTTCGTTCACATTCTCGCCGCCTATCCGCCAAAGACTATTGGGGTGATTGATCTTTAGCACTTCTAGTTCAGATGTTCAACACGTTAGCGTCACTCGATCACGCAGACGTTTTCGGCGATGTGGCGTCGACGGCATTGGACGAGCTGATTCGGAATTCGGCCGCCGCTGCGATCAGCACTGCGCACAGCAATCTGTCCGCAGCTTTGCAACCAATGGCTGGTGGTCTCAACAATTCCCAATTCAATCAGTCAAGTAGCCTTGCCAACTCACAAGATGGACCAAGTCGAGGCCGAAAGAAAAACTCTACGGTCAACTTGATTTGCGTCGTTTGCGGCGATCAGGTGAGCGCTTTTCCAGTGTTTATTGACTCTCTAGTCAAGATACAGTAGGGTACAGCATCGTTGTATGTCACACATAGGGGGGGGGTCGCACTTGACCGTTGCGGAGGGGGGACGCATTTGGTCGTTGTTGGGAGAAGGGGGGGTCGTATGTGCCTTTGAGAGAAATTTGCCGCGTTGGGAAAAATTTTTCCCGGTTGTTGACTTTTCGTGATTTTTCCTGTTTCATGTGTACTATACACCTCTACCCCCCGTTCGACGGGAAATCTCTGGGTGAAAAACTGAAAATGAAAAATGTGGGAACTAGGTAGGTAGGTGTTGGGGAGGGTGGGGAGGTCTATCGAGACCGACGCTTGGGTGAGGGGGGGGGAGTCGTACCAGGAACCGTTTCGGAGGAGAGTGGTCGTATCTACAGACTACTTTCATTTCACACATCGCGATGCTGTACCCTGGGGTACAGCATCGTTGTGTGAACATATGGGGTCGTACTTTGGCCGCTGGCGGAAGGGGGGGGGCCGTCATTTGGCTGTTGTTGGAAGGGGGTCGTGTCGACACCCCTGCTACCATGTTCCTAGTACGTCTGATGAGTGCTGCTTTATCTTGAATTTTCGTTCATTGTGACTAGGTTGTCCTGCCTCCTGTGCAGAATTTTGCAGAATGTGACCCTCACAAATTTTCTCCCCTGGTAAACCTCCCATCCCAATGTTACCTATGTTACATGCTCCCTAAATTCATCCCTCCACTTTTCAACCGCTTAACTTTTTTTTCGGGAATTCCATTATTACTTTTTTTGGAAATTCTCAACTTTTCCCCTATGCCCCAGACGACTGCAGCCGAGAGGGGAGGGAGGAGGTGGTTAGCGAACCCGAAACACGAAAATCCGAGGAAGTCCGGTCAACAATTAGAAGCATTTTTGTCAGAGGCGAACACATATGGTCCCCCTCTCCCTGGCGACCAAAGAAGACCTACCACTCGCCTCGCTGGGGTTTTGTAATGTGCCCAGATTGTCTGACTCGAGCCATCTGGCAACCATCCCCCCTCGCGACTACCTGCCTGCGTCCCACCCCCCTGCTCTCCGGCGATCCCGACTGCTGCGTTCTGTCGTTAGAACTACTTGAGAGATGTAGGAGATTGGTGTAGCGGTAAGGGGCGCCGTCATCATTTACGTGACCCGTGGCTTACCGCCTAGGCTATTCTGTCCTTCCGCCTATATTTATTGTTATTGAGAAGATGGAGAAAACAGAATTCAGGAGAACAGAAGAGCTCGCTGATCCGAGTGGTCCTTGTTCTTATAGGTAGTATAAAAGCCGAAAACCCATTCAAATCCATTACTTCTGTCATTTTCCTTCGAATGTTAAACATGTGGCGTTCCTTGAAGAGTACAAAGGCGGGCCATTTTTCAAAGAAAACTACCCGAAGTTAACGACTCCATCCTTTTCCCTGAGTGGGATATACAAACCGGATAAAGCTGACTAGAGCGAGGGAGCTAAGACGTTTGAAGGACCCAAGCAAAAGTCCTCATATTCATTACAGTACTCCGTGTTGCGCAGAAATTCTTATGAATACTTCTACACACCCCACCCCTCAGCGGAGTGTTTTCTCTTCTCTTTTCTTTTGCTGAAATGAGAATTTGTTGGTTTTTTTACTGTGCTATTCCTTATCTGATTAAGTTTATGAGTATAGCTTATTGGGTATTAGACTTTCAATTAGATAAATAAGTAGAGTCGCAGTTTGCCTATTTGGGGTAGGGGGAGGGGAGAAGGAGAGGTTCAATTAATCCCAGTGCAATATGCAGGGCTATTTGCCGAAGGTTTGTGAATTCTTGTGAATCTAGGAATCAGGTCGGACTTAAAGGCAGTTGGCACGATAAATCTCTAAGAAGAGTAGGACTGATACCGCCTGGCAGGACAGGATTCCGCGACCCTAAGCAGGTGCTGCGTAGCGCCTTTTCTGAGGGAGGCACCCTTAGAAGGGCCCTATCGAGCTACAACATTACGACCCGAGCGCCCACCACGCCCGCCCGCCCACAAATGGACGACCGTACCTGACGCTCGTATTGCTTTATTTGCAAAGTAAAATATGAAGCGAAGAGATTGGTATGAAGCTGCATGGATATATGGGAACATACATGCAGCCGTACCCACCGTAGCGGTTATTGGCAAGATGTCTACAGAAAACTCGTCCGAAATTGTCATTAAGGACGAAGGTTTTTCTTCGCAGGTTTTTGACCGTTTCACTTCGTTTTTTCGCCATTTTCCCACTATATGGCGCCCTGCTAGCATTTTAGGCCAATTAACAATGCCAACTGCCTTTAACTGGTGTCCAACTGCTGAAAGATACAAAGAAAGGATTGCATACCAGAGGATGAGAACATTTGCTTAGCCCTGGGGAAAGAAACATCAGGGATGGTGACGAGGTGCGAACAAAAAAAGGGGAAAGAAAACCAGTCGAATTTAGAACTTTAGACGAGTTCCGTTATCAAAAGCTGTGCCTGAATAGGGTAAACAGAAAAGCATCTGTCTGCTATTGTTCAGAGGGAAAAAGCAAAGGGTAACCTTGTCCCAACATCAAAAAAACCGTTTTCGAATTTTCTGCATTTGATATCTCCATTTTGCCTATTTCGATGACAAGAGCCGCAAGAGCTTGGGAGGTCCTCTCGAGAAGTCAAACGATTTCATTCAGCAAAAATAGAGAATAGGATTCCCGCACTTATCATTTTATAAAGACGTACTTGTGGAGCTCCACTCATTAGTGTGCGAGAGAGTCATCGGTTGAGTTCATTTTGTGCCATCACGAGTTCTGCAGAAGAGGTGAGGAGAGCGCGTGTGACACGCGAAAGGAAACAGTTGTTGGCCGGGGCGGCGTCACATTTTCTGTCGAGACGTTGAGACCATATGACACAAGGTCCGAGTCGTGGCTTGTGGTTACATTTTTATGCACCGGCTTTGAACCCTTGCTAAAAATATTCGGCACTATTTACGCCTTTTACTGCACCGGAGCTGAAAGCGCAGAGGTGGGAGCCAAAAGAGCCAGTGTCCTAAACGCGAGCTTCTGTTCTCGATGGGAAGACGAGAGTGGCTCGAATTTTGTCTACTGGGGTAATTTTGACTTCCTGAATGACGAATTATGACATTCGCGTTAGCCCGAACTCTCCTGCGGCCAGGGCGCCACACGCTGCGGTGATCTGGGTAGTTTTGGCGGCCAGAGACCCTACAGCGCGGACGGCAGGAGGTTTCAGGCCGAGCGGAAATGCGCACTATTGCCGTTGTCCTCAGGAGGTTCAAGCTACGGGCTCTGGGGCACATAGTTTTCAGGCCAGTTTATTCCACCGGAGAAAGAAAACATTGTAGGGTAGTGCGTATTTCCTTGGGGCTCCACAGTTTTGAAGACGATAATTTACACTCATATTTGAGGACATTTCCGTTGCAATGGCGAATGGAGCGTGGGCCATGCGTAGCGTGCTTGTCTGCCGCTCAAAATGCAACGGGAAATCGAGGGGGGAGTAATCGTGTCTGGAGGTGGCGTCTCCATAAGCCGCCAGCGCCATCGTGAAGGTGGCAGCATTCGCACCATAGATGCGAAGGTACCAGACTGCGAAACACGCAGTCTCAGCGGCCAGGCAGGTTGAATAGCTGTGGACCTACATTTCCCCATCCAAGGACCAAAACATCCACGGAGGTGAGTGTACAACATGTCTTTGGAGGACTCTTCCTGCAGAACTGGGTTTATCTTAACCCAAGGTACAGCATCGCAGGGAGCATCCCAGTCGAGGGGTCGCACTCAGTCACTGGGGAAAGTATGTATTTGGTCGGTATGGGTAGTAACTGGTTTTGAGAGACCAGAATGTTTTTCGAGCCGCGGGCAGATCTTCTCCGGTCGTTGGACTTCTTCGGCGATTCTTTCCGCCTCACGTGCGCTCTACAAGCTGAGAAAGATTTTGGGAACTCGGAAATACTGAGAAACTGAGGAAGTGGAGATAAGGTGGGGTGATGGTGAGAGGACCGATGCATGGTAAATGGCTTTACCACTGAGGGGAAGTCCTCTGCACTGTTTAGAATAACCCTAAAGAATTTCGCGGAGAGCGCGGGAGACCTTTAGATAGGTGCAAGACGAAGATTACCGACGCCATTTTTCAATATGAATTTATACATGTTGCAAAAGTTGGACTCGGCGAATAAATATTGCAAGTATTGATATCAGCAGAGATTTCGGAAAATTTCTGAAGGAATGGCTTTTAATGATCCGTTTTTTGCTGTTCTCCGCAAGAAATAGTTTGGTTCCACTGCGAGACCAACGAGAACGAGCGCTTTCGTCATCGCGTTAATATTCATGAACTGAACATTAAAAGAGATGGTGTTATCTGCTCTCAACCATTGAATGTGTTGAATTGTAATTTGAAATTCTGTCAATGTTAGTCGACAAATCCGTACAGTATGGGGGTGCGGTTAATAAGATACCTATCATAAAGTCTAATGCATCAAGCGCGAGACAGTGTAAGATCAAAAAAAGTGCTTGAAGAAGAAAAGAAGAAGAAAGAATGAATCAAAAAAAGTGTTTTTTGTAGGATTTTTTCGCGAAGCGGCTTTTTTACCCAATTTTTTCCGAAGCGCCTGCTGCACTATATCGCACACAGTGGACTCCATTACATGCCCCGCCCCCAGACAACTCCGCCCCTTCGACACAATTTACACTCACATTAAACACATCTTATACCACATATATACTGCATCTGTACCAGTTTTTCACACTTTACTACACATAGACCCTTGAATACAATTTTACTTAATAGCGCATTCGACTCCGCCCCCGACGACTCCGCCCAGGATTGATCGAAAATTTCGCCACTTCATAACTATTCACCAACATGCTCTTTGGATGCTCTGAAATGCGGGTCTTCAAAGCTATCTTTGCTGTTGATTGAATTATATGCAGCTGCAAACAGGATACAACTACCTTACCAAAACCCGTCAAGGGGTTGGTATTTGGGGGGATCAGATTTGGCTTCAACAGAAATTCCACGTGAGCTTACCTGTCTCACTAATGCGGCTCAGCAAGGCGTCTATCCCACTCCGCAGCTCTGCAAGGGTTCACGAGTCTCACAAAAATTAGGAAACTGACGAAACTAATCCCCCCCCCATCCCCTCTACCAGACGAATAGTGCCAAGAAGACTGGTGACATGTAGGTGATATCGTACACCTACACACTCTCACGGATAAGATTTTTTCGAGAATTTTGCTCCGCAATAATTGGATAGCATCAAGGTTTCTTATATTTTAGGCCTTTGGCAAGCACTATGGAGTGAATGCGTGTAATGGATGCAAAGGATTTTTTAGGAGAAGGTTTGTATACTTGATAATTTTTTTGCTTCAATTTTCAGATTTCTTTGAATTATGTCACAACTGCCACGCTCTCCTGGCTTTGTCTTCCTTCGTACGGTAAACGGGTGGGACGTCCACGTTGCGGCTCCGCGGCGTTGTAACCTGCGCAGTGTTCGCAACAGAATATGACTGACTAACGTCAAGGTTGCTACAGTATGTCGGCAAGCTCGCAAGAAGTACCATCTAGTTTGTGCGCATCGCTGCAACGTGAATTTCACGACGGGTAACCGCAGTTCGAAATGGCTCACCCTCAGGGAATGAAGAATCCCTAGCTGCAGAAAACCAATGGGGAAATCCCCGCTGGTATTTTTTTAATCGGCGGCTCACCTTCCCCTATCTCTTAGTTCGAGAGAATAGCTCTCAGTTCCAAACATGTGAAACTCGTGGGCGCATTGTAGTCGTGGGGGTCAGTCAAATCGCGCCCCGAAGACAACTTGTATGTACACTCACCTCCGAGGGTCCTGGTCCTTGCCATTGCGAGATGAGTCGGTCTGCAGCTGCGGCTTTCTCAGCTCGAAATTGTACGCAAACGGGATCGGAGGGTGCCAGTGTGCCACACGGCCAGCTTCACGCATAGCCATAACCAAGCGCGCTACATGTCTGCCCGCTTCTTACTTCCAAGGCTCGCTCTCGATCTCTACCGCTTGAAGCGTATGTCGCTGCGGGACCTTCGTATCGGCGCAACTTCTTCACCTCGCAAATAATGCAGGTGGTCTCAAACGGCATCCAGAATAACTACCCTCAGCCTCATTTCCACTCCAATTGTACAGCTACCAACTTGCGGTTCAAGTCACTCTATGGGCAACCAAATGAACGTGGCGATTTCGACGGATGCTAAGGATACTGATTTTTTATATTTTAGTGTCTGGAACAATCG